TTTGTGAATCTTATTTTAATTTTATTTGTGAATTTCTCCAGAATACTAATCCGGTGTGTGATTAGTTCTGCCTGACAAGAGTTTGTTAAAGAGGAGCAGAACACACACACACACACACATACACACACACACAAACACACACACACACACTTCTGGGCATCAAACACTGCATGTATGTTGAAACACACTCATGTTTCAGTAAGAGACAAACTGCAAGAAATCATAATCAATAGAGCAAAGTTGATGTGGCACAACTTATTCAATGGAAGGAATGTACTATATTTTAGTTTGATAATGTTTTTTGTTTAATATTCTGTATGTTTAGGGGATTTTATGGTACTAAACTATATTTACAATCCATTTATTCACATTTTGAACTTAAATTGTCATAAATGTCGAATGCTTTAGAGCGACAGACTCAAGTTTGATCTCTTATTAAAGTTGACACTTGGCAGATTATTGCTGAAGCGAAAAAAGTTGAATAAAGTGAGATGAATCTTCCAGTGAGATGTTGTTCGGCTGCAGTTCCAAACGCTTCCACTAGAGGACACTCGTCTCTCGTTTATTTCCAATGCGCTCGTTTCTAACCGCGAGGAGCACAACTGTTCCAATCATGTTCGTGATTTGTGTGTTTTCACACAGCAAGCGCCAAAACATTTACCAAGATTCGTGGCATTCAGATGAAGAAAACAAATAAATGTAAAAAAATTTGTGTATATAAAATTTATAATGTATAAACAAATATACAAATTATGCAAATATATGCAAATAACAAATCTAAAATTATGTATAAACAAATAAATGTAAAAAAACGTAATATTTTCGGGCTATGTGTAGAATTCAGAAACTCTTGTTATTAGCGACACCGGTGGTCGTTCAGTGAACTGCAGCAGCACAAATATTACAATAATTAAAATAATCACAAAATAAAAGAATTAAAACAGTTATAAAATTAATTCAAAGAGATATAAAGATGATACAGTTATAAAAGGAACTAAAAGAGTAAAAATATGATGCATAGATAAACTTCTCATCCGGCAAAACACCGGCGCATCATGTTTCTCACAGCTCCCAGTTTTACTCTGGGATTTTCCCATGGTGAATCTTTCCCATCCTTTATTTATTTTGCTCGATCTGAGAATCTTTGATACAATCTCACAAAACATCCTCCTAGACAGGCTGGAGATATGGAGTTATGAACTTATGGAGTTATGAGCATCTGCCTGTCTAGGTTTGGATCATATCAACTCAAAAACTTCAGATCTAAGACATCACAAGTTACCACCGGTGTTCCCCAAGGCTCAGTCTTGGGCCCTCTTTTACTTATTATTTATTTACTGCCCCTCGGACACATTTTTAGGAAGTACGTTATTCATTTCCACAGTGTGTGTGTGTGTGTGTGTGTGTGATCCAACAATAGCAAACCTCAACCATCCAATCAATTCCCCACAGACACAATCAAGCCCCGCCCACATTTGTTCTTGTTTGGGAAGCAGATTATACTCTATACCATGAATGTATTAAAGGTGTGTTTACAGGAGTCGCGTGTGTGTGTGTGTGTGTGTGTGTGTGTGTGTGTGTTTATAACACCGGCAGCGTAAGATCCAGTGTATCTGCAGGGTTTATTCAGAAGTCAGTGACTGTAGTTGATTCTGATTTATGTGAACACCTCCTCCAGCCCTTGGGCACTGAACCATGTTCAAAACCCCATATCCCATGATGCAGTATTCCTGTGCCTATGCACGCCAGCTGCTGGCACACTCACACACACACACACACACACACACAGTGCTAAGAAGGGAATGAGAGTCTCTCGACGCTGGTATTGGCCGACACTCCGGGCTTCACCCCAAACTGGCACCTGGTTCTGCTGCCCGCTGGGTGTGTGTGTGTGTGTGTGTGTGTGTGTGTGTGTGTGTGGCTCTGCTGGGCATGTTAGAGAGAGAAACTAACACTAATGATTCACTAACAGTTTTCAGCTAAATAAGTTTGTTTTTTACCCCACAGAACTAAGCGTGTGTGTGTGTGTGTGTGTGTGTGTGTGTGTGTGTGTGTGTGTGTTCAGTGGTGCTCCATCAGACAGTCTGAATGTGTCAAAAACACAATTGGTTTATATTCAGTTCTGCTGGATCAGCAACATACAGACCTGGTTAAGAGACAAACTCTCTCTCTCTCTCACACACACACACACACACACACACACTCTCTCTCTCTAATTTCCCTGATCATTATGGCGTTGTGTGTGTTAGCCTGGATAGGTTTCTCTCTCGGTCACCTCTGGTTCATTTATCATCTTGTTCCTGTTTTACTTTACAGTGATTTATGTCTTTTAAACATACTTTAGCCTGTTCTCTCACACACACACAACCACACACACACACACACACACACACACACACAATTTCTAGTTGAGATGGAGATGAATGTGTTTACGGCTGAATTCTACTTTAAGCAGCTCTATCGGTCACTATAGTTACAAAATGACTGTATTAAGACTTGTTTAATGAAGAATGTATCAGAATAAAGTGAGTTTGTGCTGAAAACAAGAACAAATGCCAATGCAGTGACAAATAAAAATAATCTCATTTTCCCATAGAATTAGGATTATTTATATATATATAAGACTCTTTCTTTGTCTGTGGTTTGGCCAGACTCAGATAATGAGTGTGATGTGATGTGTAAAGGGTCACTGATGAGATTATGATGGGAATATGATGTCCTGTTGGCTTAACTGTACTTTCACTCGTAACAATCACAATCAAACGTCGATTATATATATATATATATAGACACATATACATGTGTGTGTGTCGACTCGTGAGTTTCTCATGCCAGTCTTATTTTAGGATCATTGATGTTCCATTTGTTTTTGTGTATATTTTGCATTAAATCTTTCAGTTTTCTGTAGTAATTTCTGTGTGTTTTAATCATTGTTTATTATTTTATGTGCCTATACAGTATTTGTATTTATAAGTTTTAGTTATTTTGTATTAGCTGAAATAAAATAAGCTAAAGTTTTTTATACATTTTATTTTATTTTAAGTAACAACAATTTTTATTTTATTTTAGTCGACAACAAACAATTTTATTTTAGTCCATTGCTAAAGGTGTCTGGCTATCTCCGCAACGCTTAATCATACAAGCATGACCTGAGGCTACATGCTGCGTTTCGGCGCAGCGCCACCGACTGGTCCGGAGATATGAAAAATTGCTATTTTGGCCTATAACTTCTGAACGGGATGTCCAAAAATTATAATAAAATCATCCAATTTTCCCAGGTTGACCGTTCTGGCTGTCGGCCATTTTGAATTATGTGCTAAAATGCTGTATTTTATGAACGCATAAATGGATTGTCATGAAATTTGGTATGGGTCATCACCACGAAGTCCTAAAGGAGCCTGAGAAGTTTCGAAAGAGCGCCACCTAGTGGTGATTTTTTTTCTTCAATAGCTTATAATGCGAATAAGTCTGGGTGTGGTTGACTGATTTTCACGGGAGACATCTCCTTGAGTTCCTGAATCCTTGCCGAGTCCAACGATACCACACGTGCTAGGTTTCACCTTACGGTTTGAATAACGTTGTGATTTAGCGTTTCTAAAACATTTGCCAATATCTTTGAAACCGTTTGGAAACCGTCAGAAGTTTGGAAACATAGGTCGCTGGACAAATTTAAATGCCCAAATGCCAAAATATTGACAGTAAGAGGTTGTAAAATTCAATCAAAGTCACGTGTTCTTTCTTCATATAAATGTCTATAACTCGGAAGTGAATTGAGATATTTTCACCAAAATTGGCACACAGATGTATGGGCACATTCTGGGGACACATACAAAAAATGGTGGGACTGAGCCTCTTGGTGGCGCTATAATAGAACAAAACGTGAAATTCCCACTGACGTTAATACAGTATTGTGCTGTAAAATGCTATACTTAACAAATGCATTGCTGTAACATTATGAAACTCAGAATGTGCCTTAAGAACCATGCCCTGAAGATTTTGAGACAGCGCCACCTTTTGGTCAAAAGTTATAGTTAAATTTCCAAAAATGCTAATAACTTTTGAATAAATTTGCCTATTGTAATAGATCTCTTGGGTCACGCTGAGAACATAGATACCAAGATTGCCATATTTGACCAAACTTCCTGTCAAAGTTGAATTACTACTCAGGCATTTACTTTGTATGTGTCATTGTCAAATCACTCTGACCAATCCACATACAGTTCGTAACTGTTCCACCTATTGGCCGAAAGTGATAAAAACCATTAAATCATATTTTTAGTTAATATATATGATTTTTCAGCCATTTACCTAAATTCATTTTTAAATGTCTTTAATTGGCACGTCTTATCCTCTGCTTGCAGCTATATATATATATATATTTTTAAATGTCTATATAATAATAATTTTATTTTATTAATTTTTTATTTGGGTTATTTTGAACTATTTAAGCTATTTATTTTAGTTTATATCCAGTTATTTATGTCTAGTTATTTTATTTTAGTTTTAGTCACCAATAATAACCCATCTGCTAGTGGAGGTGTATTACTATTATTATAATTTTGTATTTTTTAGTTTCCATTGGCAGCTAGTTTAATTTTTAAATAATTTTTAATAATGTTTACATTTAATTTAACACATTTTTTATTTTATTCAATTTTATTGAATTTTTTTTTTTTATTTTAATGTTTTGTATTTCAAGTAACACAAATGTGTTATGTATTTTATTTTAGTTGTATTTAGCAATAATAACCCTGGCACGCAGGTCAGTAATGGATGCGTGTATAAATACGCATGAGTGTATTTAGAAGAGGGTTTAATGACTTTGCAGTGATTCCATTGCTTATCTGCATTAAGGGCTTCAGTTCAGCTGTAGTGACAATAACAGCTGCTCATGCAAACGTCACTCTTCACATTTACACTCATCTACACACATTCAGACCTCACAACGGGACATAAAGTGAACAAACGCTCGCAGCATGACTGACACTGCTGGTCGGGGTTAAACTTTGATTCAAATTAAATGAAATTATCAGACATCGATCAGAAAGATGTTTTTCTTGAGGCAAAACATCTCAAAGCAACAGCATGCGAGCAGCGAAGTCGCACCAAGGACCGTCGCACGAAAGTGCAACTCCGAGGATTCAAAGAGGCCGTTGCGTCGGAAGACGAGTTGCGTTGAAAATCTATCCTCTGTCGATCGGATTCGCAAACATGCAGTCAGACATTTGGGCTACAGCACCCTCAGCCTGGCCATGCGAGGTCTGGACGAGATGCCCGAAGAACTGTGGGAACTCCAAGAGCTCCAGAAGCTCAACCTCTCCTTAAACACGCTGACGCTTTTGCCGTCGGGCCTTGGGAATCTGGAGAACCTGGTGGTCCTCAATCTGTGGGGGAACGAGTTAGTGGAGCTCCCGCCTGAGATCGGACGGCTCAGGAATCTACGAGTGCTTTTCGCGCACAGGAACCGCTTACACGACGTCCCAGAGGAGCTCGGAGACTGCTCCAACCTCGAGGTCTTGAGTCTGGCCAACAACCAGATCAGCACGCTTCCCAACAGCCTGTCCAACATGCGCAAACTCGCCAAGCTCAACCTCAGCCACAACCGCATCCAGCTCATCCCGGCCTGCGTGTACAGCATGAAGAGCCTCGTCTTCCTACATCTGGCCAACAACCAGCTGGAGAACCTCGCAGATAAGGTTAACACATTTCTGTTGATTATTGTAATGCCTACACTGCAAAAAATGCTTTTTTTACTCAGGTTTTTTTTGTCTTGTTTCCAGTCCAAATGTCTAAAAACTCTTAAATCAAGATGGATTTGCAAAAGTAGGAACATGCCATTAGATATTATGTCTGCCAATGGGGTAAGAAACATAATGTTAATTCAAACAGAAACAAGATTATTTTTTCTTTCCCCGTTGGCAGATCATTTGACTCACTTTATTTAGATTTCCCCCCAGAAAACAAGACTTAATATCTAATGGCATTTTACCCAACTAATAAATGCTTCTTGATTTAAGAATTTTTAGATACTTGGACTGGAAACAAGACGAAATACCAAATAAGAAAATCTTTCTGTAGTGTTGTTAGCTGGAGTGTCAAAAGCTACACTGTTAGACCTTACCAGGTTTTTTACAGTAAAATACTGGCAACACTGTTGCCAGTAATTTACTGTAAAAATGCACTAAAACTCAAGTTAACTAAAAAATACAACTTATTAGTTTTAGTGCATTTTTACAGTAAATTACTGCCAGTATTTTACTGTAAAAAACCTGGTAAGGTCTAACAGTGTACCTTAAACAAATTGCAGGTAAAGTGCAAATCGCGACTGCTAGAACTATATATGAGATCACATTACGCACATTTTGGGGTCGTTTTTATATTGTCTCCCATTTTATAACAAAATAAAATACCTTTTTGTTACTTGAAATACAAAATAAACTGATGCTTACTTACAAAATCCTTGCAAACGTATCAGAATTTTGACTTTAAAATATGGCGTTAACTAGTTTACAAGGCGTTACATGGGTTGGCGTCTCAATACTTGACCGAACGTTTAATTCCATATAGTCCAACTCGTGACTGAAACTGGTCTCATTCCTTTAACCCGCTTACCATTGATGGGAGATTTCTTCAATAGCTCTTTACCAATCGAGATAAGGCTTAAGGTGTTACCTTAACATTAACACTCATTTTTTAGGGTGGCTTTTAATTGAATATTTGTATAGATTTTTTACTGTCTATTATTTGATATGATGTATTTTGTTGCTTGTTATAATGTTATATTGTTGTGGATTATTGGATATGGTGTTTTTGTTGTTTTATTTGTTTCTGTACAGCGCTTTGAGATGTACAGTTAAATGCGCTATAGAAAATAAAGGTTATTATTGTTCTGATGATTATAAGATCCAGGAGCTGGTGAACCTCAAGATCCTGATCGTGGAGCAGAACTCGCTTCACACGCTTCCCCGGACGCTGTGCCGTCTGACGGGCCTGGAGCTCCTCAACGTGGACTTCAACGATCTGCAAAGCGTTCCCGATGAGATGTTCATGCTGAGGCGTCTGGAGAAGCTCGCTTGCCATCCTCTGGATAAAGGCCTGCATATCGTCCACAATCCACTGCTCAAGCCCATTAAAGAGGTTCTGCAAGGAGGTCTGAAAGCCCTTTATAGCTACCTCAAACCTACATGAAGATAAATGCTGACGTTGGGGGATTACTAGGTTATGTTTTGCACAAAACAAAATAATTTTTCAATTTTTCTGCAGTGATTTTCTTCCTCGGTTGATCAGTGCAAATATCTAAACATTTGAAGATAAATGGTGATATTGGGGGATTACTAGGTTATGTTTTGCAACAACAACAAAAAAACGTTTTTAGTTTTTCTATAGTGATTTTCTTCCTTAGTTTCTCAGTGCAAATATTTAAACATGTTTAATTTAAAGGGAAGACCAGATTCTTTTTATTGGCAGATATTGGTACCAGTAAAGAGGTTCTGCAAGGAGGTCTGAATGCCCTTTATAGCTTTCTCAAACCTGCATTAAGATAAATGGTAAAATTGGGGGATTACTAGGTTATGTTTTGCCCATTTTTTCAGTGCAAAAATCTAAATATGCTTCATTTAAAGAAAACCGATCTCATGGCAAAAGTGCTCACCTATTGTGTTCATTACTGTTTTCTTTTTTCACTTTGGAGTCTAGAGAAGTCCATAGAGCCGTGAAATTTGGCACACTGATAGATGACAGTCTGAACATTAAACGCACCAATTTTGGAGTCTCTAAATCAATCTCTCTAGCGCCACCATCTGTTCAAAGCTGCATTCATGTTTATGCTAATAACTTTTGAACCATCAGGGCTAGTAACACAATTCTTTCCTCTTCTTATTTTGTGCCTCAAGAAGATTCAATTAAATCATATGACTTAATTTTCTGTCATGAAAAATGTCGACAGAAAAACCTGAAATTCATGTAAATTGGCGAACCATTTTTGAAAAACTCATTAACGAATTCTACGAGGAGCATGCCATAGTGGACGTGAGGCTATATCTCTGAAACACTTAACCGTATTCAGAACAAACTTGGTGTGTTATGACAACCAATGTCTATTTTTGCTTCTGATTAAAACTGGTCTCTTTAGATTCGGTGCAGCATACCGAGTCAAAAGACACCCATCTTGGCCGTTTGGGGAGTCAGACATTTTTAATCATAAAATATGGCTGATGGAAAATGCTATATTGATAATTGACAAAATGCTTATATGAACGCAATGGCGTTTCGTTAACTAAACTCTGTCATCGGCACCATACCCTGAATATACTCAAAAAGTTTTGAGACAGAACCACCTTGTGGTCGAAACGTAAAATTAAATTTCAAATAATGATTGATTAATTTGGCCTATTGTAATGAAATTGGTCTTAATAGATTATTTGGGTCATGCCGAGAACATAGATACCAATATTACCATAATCAGACCACATCAATTTGGTGTCAGCGCCACCTACTGTTCAAACATAATAAGTCACATTACAAGTGTCTTTACTAATTTTACATTTTTTTTAAAGGAAAAATATCATAATTTTGAGACATTTTTAATAAAATAACTTCATAACGTCAGTCATTTTGCTTCTTTAAATGTCTCTTGATTTATGAATGTTTCGATATTTGTGCTGGAAAACGAGACAAATAGCTTATTTGTTTAGCAGTTTCTTTATTATTTGTGAATTTAGTAGAAATTTATGAGAGAAAAATGTTACAAAGTAAATCACTGTTTTTCAGTGCGCTGTAAAAAATGATTTTTTGAAGTTGTTAAAAAAACCTAAATGATTATTGATGTATTTTTTACAAGAAAATACTATTTCAGTTTTTCTACTTCAAAATTCCATGTTTAATTCGACGTGTTGCTTGCCATTTCTTTGTAATTGTTTGTGAAATATACTAGCATTTTTTTGTAGGGAAAATTGTTTCAAAATAAATCCAACACCAATTTTTTTTTTAACGTGTTTTCATTGTTGTTGAAAATTACATTAAAAAAATACTTTAAAATTTACTTTACAAAAGTTTTTGTCATGCAAATGTCACTTATTGTTCCATTGGCAGATATTTGTTCTTGTTTTAAGATATTTGTAATTGTTTACTTAATATCTTCAGGCTTTTTGCTTCTTCTCCAGTAAATGTCTCTTGATTTAAGAATGTTTAGATATTAGTGCTGGAAAACGAGACAGAAACACTGAGGAAGAGCATCATCGCTTTAAGACGAGACCGTAAAAAGGCCGTAATCACAATTTGTTTTTATTGCTCTTGATTGAAACTCATGATAAAGTCTCTGTCGTTCATCAGCTGAAGCTCAAGCTATTCCTGACCCCTTTAAGCTTGAGTCTTAGATGCTGTGTTTCTAACCTTGCCTGGCTGTCACACACACACACACACAGGGTCACATTATTAAGGGATTGCATTACTGTTCTTTAAAATAAACTACACTTGCTCTGACCATTTGTTGTTTGTTCCAGAACAAAAAGTATAAAACTACACACAAGTATTTGAGAAGCAGATACAGTGAGCCTTGGTCACACGACCCTTCAGAAATCACCATAATACGCTGATTTGCTTCATCTTTTTGTGGAAACAGTGTTAAACTTCAGTTCAAAAGTTAAAAAAAGAAATACTTAATATTCAGCTAAGACGCATTAAATTGATTAAAAGTTTTAAAAGATTCTGTTTCAAATAAACGCTGTTCTTTTAAACTTTCTATTAGTCAAAGAATCCTGACAGTTTCCACACAAATATGAAGCAGGTTTCAACATTAATAATAATCATAACTGTGTCTTGATCATCAGATCATGTGACTCTGAAGACTGGAGTAATGATGCTGAAAATCACAGGAATAAATTACACTTTATATTGATTTACATTACAATAATATTTCATATTTTTACTGTATTTTTGATCAAATAAACACTTTCAGCGACATTAAAAATATCATAATTATGAAGGAATTTGTTTTATGCAGCATGAAGACACTCTTAACATGAATAATGTCATAATATACACATTTACAACACATAAACAGAGATGCTTCCACTTCTAAGAGTATTATTAACTAAATGCATTGTAATGACACATAAAACATGATCCGTCAACAAAAACAGCAGGCCTAGTCTGACACGCAGTGGTTATGAGTGATTTATCACAGGTTTATGACTGAGAAATATGATCCGTGGCGAATATGATCCGGTTATTACAGTTATTATAAGCATGCTTGTCCATAACCGCGGATTGTTGTTCCTGTCACAGATCGACTCTCTCTCTCGAGGGACTGCGATAGTCAGACCGCTTTAATTAAACAATAAACGATTGAAAAACATCCAGTGCTCAGAGGATGTGCTTATGATTAAAATAGCAATGTGAGAACTCACTTATGATAGAGATAAAGCGTTTACAGTGCGCGTGAAAGAGCGCTTACATCACTCAAAACGTCTGAGTGTCACTCAATTCTTGCTCTTTCCCCTCTAACTTTCTTAAATTATTATTTTTGTTTATTTATTTATTTGTATTGGCACACAGAAGAGTGGAAAACAAAAACAAGAAGAAAACACACTGCTAATTGATATAATGGTATGCAGGTAGATTGCATTACTGTTCTTTAAAATAACACACACTTGCTCTGACCATTTGTTGTTTGGTCCAATAACGTTTATATATATGTATAAGTGTGATTTATGTGTCCGAAAAATGCTATTAAAACATAGCCTAATGTTAATTCAAACAGACACGAGATTATTTTTCTGACCCCATTGGCAGATCATTTAGCTTTTAAGCAAAAACTCACTTATTTAGATTTCTCCCCCAGATAACAAGACATAATATCTAATGGCATTTTACTACTTTAATAAAAACATATTGCTTTATGGAAACAAGAAAGAAACACTGAGTAAGAAACGTAAGTTCTGCAGTGTGTTTGAGGAACAACAGCGCCCTCTATGAGTGACACATCAGAACTACACCAGATAAATCTGCTTGAGTTTAAACTCAGACAACAGAAGCGAGTCTGTCCTTTAGCGAGTCTCTCTCAACTTGACCCGGCCGTCATCATAGCCAAGGTCATTATGGCATATTTAATCAGTGCGACACGATAACAAAATATTAAACATGTCCGCCAATCAGCTAATCAAGTAATGATGCTGAGAGCTTTGAGGAAGGTCAGTGGAGTCGAGTCGAGTTAGCCTCAGGAAAGCTAATTAGCAGGACATATTTTAAGGATTCAATCAAGTTAATGTACGACGTGAAATCTTAAAGTCCCCCTGTGGTGAAAATCCAGCTTTTAATGTTGTTTACGTGTGTATGTGGTGTGTTTAATACGCTTTAAAACAAAAGACAGTCTCAAAAACATGCTTTGAAATCGCTGGTGTTTCTGACGTCACAAACGACCTTGTAACCAATCAGATCAACATGTGATCGTCAACCAGTGGATCTCTGAGCTGAGCGGGGCTCATTTGCATATTCATAGAACCGAGGCATGTCGAGTTACATTCAAGATATTTTAAGGCATAAAGACATGTTTTCAAGAGAGAAAACTCTTAAATATATAATTTTGGTGATCAAAGATTAGTTTTTAAGGATAAAATGAAACTTTTTATTTAAACAAAAAGCTTGTAATATGGGGGTTTCATTTTGAGAACCATTTGGGTTCTTTGACAAAACCTTTAAAGTCCCCGTGAAAAATTTTTGCGATCAAAATGACTCATTTTGTGGTGGTAATTCCCAAAAATTTGTGAAAAAATGTGCGATTTTATTTATATATAACATTTACCATAATAGTATAAAGAACTTTTATTTATGATATTTCTAAAAATCATTTTGCTCCATTGCATACTAAATAAACGTTGAACTGAAAGCTCCAGTTCTCCTCTATATCAGTGACTCCTGAAACGCCTCCATTGTATCTTGAGTTTCTTCGGGAACGAACACGCCTCAATATTCCTCATTATAATAATTAATGCGCAGAATAAAGGGGCGGGGCCTGGTTGAGTTAGTTAGTAGTGTGTTAAACTGGCGGTTATGGAAAGGGGCGGGACATTTCCCAAACATCCTCGAAGCGCTCGACCAATCACGACACACCGCTCCAGCCGACCAATCAGAGCACAGAGTGCTTTCAGGAGGAGGGGCTTCATAGAGACAGGAAGTAAACAGAGAGTTACTGACAGACTGGGAAGAGAGGAGCCGCAACAATGGAGAATATGAGGAGAATAATCAACATTCAAGCAGGAAAACATCAATATGAGCTCTTTAAAACATTCGAGTGTCTCTGGAACAGCTTTACGGCGCAGCAGTTCATGTGTGTGACATTTATCCTGATTATTCACCGTTATGACGCCTCGTCAAGCGTCCAGGAAAGCTGCCAATCTCACCACACTTTTTTTATGTGTGGTTTTGTTTCTTTGTTGTCTTGTTTTGCTGAACAAATAATAATGTGTGTAATCGCGTGTAAGTCTTTATCACTGTGTGTGAGTTTTACATGAAAGTCTTCGGATCGCGCTGATCCTGTCACGGTAACTTGGGAGTATTATCTTAATAACGTCTCAGGATTATTGTAGCTTAATCTCATAAAAGAAAATGCCATTACAGTCGCTGCTGGATCCGAAAGAAGATTGCGTTTTTATTTCCTATATCAGTCATAGCGTATTTGAGGCTATTCTCAGTTGAATGGACTTCATGATTGCACATTAGTCTCTGTTTTTTTTTTGCTGTTTTGTATTAGTAGTTTTTATTGGCTTGTTTTATGGCAGTTAAACCCCATCATTTCTTTTTCTGTCCGCCCATATCTCTATTGTTGACTCGCTCTATAGAGCGACATTGTTTGTTTTTGCCACAATGACATGATCTGATTTCAGTCCAACATTTAGTTTCTCCCCAGATACCAATTATACCAGAACCTTCAAACCCCTCGTGCTGAAAACACCAGTCTTTAACACAAGATGACTGAGTGTGTGTGTGTGTGTGTGTGTGTGTGTGTGTGTGTGTGTGTGTGCTTGCGTGAGAGGAGAGAGAGAAAAAAGTGTGTGTGTGTGTGTGTGTAACTCAGCTTATACAGTAAGTACAGTATGTAAACAGGGTGCATATATTTTTTGTTAAGGCAAATAATAGTAATATGACTTGTCCTAAACTCATAATCAAGCATATATGCACTATATTCAGTAAATTGCTAAAATGAGGAGCTTACTGACATTAATAATGCAACATTTCCTTACAAGCTGCAACAGACAGACAGATGGATAATGGATGGACGGTTAGATAGATAGATGATGGATGGATGATGAATTCATGAATGGATGATGAATGAACGGATGGATGGATTGATGGAGGAGTGGATGATGGATGGATTCATGGATGGATGGATGAACGGATGGGATGATGGAGATGATAGATGGATGGATGATGACTTGATAAATGAATAATGGATGGATGATGGATTTATGGATAATGGATGTATGGATGGATGGATGTATGGATGGATTGAATGGATGGATGGATGAATGGATGGATGATGAATTGATGGATGGATGAATGGATGGAATGGAATGGATTGATTGGATTGATGGATGGATTGATGGAGGAATGGATGGATGATGATCTGAATGGATGGATGGATGAAGGATGGATGGAAATGGATTGTGGATGGATTGATGGATGAGTGGATGGGATGATGATGGATGAACGGTATGGATGGTGATGGATGATGATAGATGGATGGATGATGACTTGATAGATGAATAATTGGATGGATGGATGGATTGAATTGATGGATGGAATGGATGGATGGATGGTGGATGGATGGATGGAGTTGTATTGATGAAGGAATGGATGATGGATGGATGGATGATGTATTGGATGGATGGATGGATGGATGGTGGATTGATGGATGGATGGATGATGAAGGAATGGATGATGGATGGATGGATGATGGATGGATGGATTCATGAATGGATGGATGAATGAACGGATTGGATGATGGATGATGATAGATGGATGAATGATGGATGGATGATGAATTGTTGGATGGATTGATGAATGGATGGATTCATGATGGATGATGATAGATAGATGATGGATGATGGATGGATGGATGATGACTTGATAGATTAATAAGGATGGATGGATGATGTATTGATGGATAGATGGTGGATGGATTCATGAATGATGATGGATGGATGGAGATGGATAGATAGATAGATAGATAGATAGATAGATAGATAGATAGATAGATAGATAGATAGATAGATAGATAGATAGATAGATAGATAGATAGATAGATAGATAGTCTAGCTGTATCAGTGGGAGGAGATGAAGCACGAACAGAGAAACAGTCGAAGCTCCCTCTACGGGAACTAATCTACAACTCTCTCTCTCTCTCTCTCTCTCTCTCTCTCTCTCTCTCTCTCTCTCTCTCTCTCTCTCTCTCTC